CCTTTTTTTTTTTTTTTTTTTTTTTTTTTTCTGATTAATACTAATAGAAACTTGTTTCTTGAAATTTTGACTATAGTTCTTATACACTAAAATATGTTCACTTTTCAATTGGTTTAGCTTAAATGAAATGACTCCAATGTCATGAATATTGGTTAAAAATTCGGACGTTCTGTATTCATTTTGTATATCCTTTTGTATTCGCATATTTATTAATTAGGTTTAACTATTTTTCATTAGCTTCAATTAAATATACAATGTTCAACTTCCACCGGTTGTGTATAGACCTCTGTCAGTAAATATGTAACAACTTTCTAGTAAATCTAAACATCAAAAGAAGTTTTTTTTTATTTATCCAAAACAGCAAAAGAAGATGAAAAATAATATCATAAAATGGTTTGTTTTTATCTCTCATAAATCATAATATCTGTCAATTCAATTTATTACATTTTTCTTATATTACAATTCAATTTGGAACTTCAGAAACCAAGGAAAGGCCATTAAAACTATATTTGAACAGATGATAATACAATTATAACCTCACCATCAAGAAAGATATATATATTATTGAGCTTAATCTAAACTAATAGCAGTGTCAAATTTTCTGTTTGCATTAATTTCTTTCTCTTAAGTCACCTGTTTCCTTTCACCCTTTACCTTAATCGAGCTTCCTCATCCTTCTCAGCCTTTTTCTTGGCCTCCTCATGAGACTCAACTAGATTCTTCAAGCAATTCTCAGCAGCATCAGCTAGTATCATATACTCATATCGGTCTCCCCCAATTACTTCTCCATAATGAGAAACAAACTGTGAGACTCAACATCCAATTAGCTCTTAGCCAACACCTTGAAAGCCTCATAAAAGCAATATGACATCTCAATGTGCTTGTCCATCCCTCCCTCTCCTAATCAAAGCAGGATCAAGCTTCTCCACATAATTTGTTGTGAAAATTATGATCCTCTCACCTCCACAAGCTGACCATATCTCATCAATGAAATTCAACGACCCTGATAGAGTCACCTTACTACTCTTATTGATTACCCTCCTCTTCATAATTTCTCCTCATAGGATTTTTTGCTTCCTCATCCTCACCCCTCTTCCTTTCCCTTCTTCATTTGAGCAGTTAGATCAAGTGAACAATCAATACCTTCAATCACTATAATACCCTTACTTGATGTCTCAGTCAACAGCTTCCTCAGCTCAGTATTTTCCTTCACTGCAGTGAGTTCAAGATCATACACATCATAGTTCATGAAATCAGCCATAGTAGCAACATATCATGCTAGAATTCCCAGTTCTTGGGGGGCATATAGTATGCATCCTCTCTACCAAGCGTTACCCACTTTCGCATAGTACTCTTTTCCTGTTTTAAACTTAGCAACACCATTTATGATCTCTTGCTTCTTCTTTGGGTCCATTGCAGGTTTCTCAAACTTGGAAGGGTGCTCAAAGAGTCAAAGTTTACGTGGCTCCACTTTCTTTGTTACTTGTTAATTACTTTGTTAGTGATAATACTTTAGGGTCAAGAACCTCTTCTCATCTGAAGTGGGGTACCTTGAAAATGAACGAGTTTTCGGAAGTGTGCAGTTTGCACTCCACCACAGTTTGACACCTTGGAACTTATCGATGATCTCTTCGTGACTAGTGGAGTGTGGCAATCTTTCATTTCTTCGACTTTCAGCCTTTTGGCTCTTTGGGATAATTTTGCACTGTGGTAATATAAGTTTGAATTGCAGCGTATGGTTCACTTCTCTTGACACTACAACTGTATGTGCAACATTTGAAAAATTATCGAAAAATATTATTAATATACTTTTACAATATTATCAAATGTAAGATATAGTTTATATTATTAAAAAAATTTAGTAATATTTTATATATTTATGACAATATTTTAGAAAATGTTATTAAAGTAGTATGTTGCAACCAGTAACGGATCTAGAAATTTTAGATAGTGAGGGCAATACTTATCATATATTTATAGTATTAAAAATTTACATATAAACTTTAAAAGCATAAATATATATCATAATTATTATTTACAAGATTTTATATCTACGATTATAATTAAAGATGAAAATAAATTAGACTAGACTAGATTTCATAATAATTTAGGTTTGAACCTAACTTTCTTTAAAATTATATCCTAAGTATGACTTATTTATCTATCATAGATATTTTTTAAGTGTTTGGTTATAGTTACAATCCTAAAGACCTACTTTATAATAATTTAACACTATTAAAAATATAAAAATAAATATGTTAAATCTTATAAAAATCAAGTTTAATTTATTTACGATATAAACATGTTTTTAATATCTAATATATATTTTTAGATGATAATTTATTTTAAAATATATTTTATAATAACAATTCTAAATGGAACATAAATCTTCTGATCTTTCTTATTTTAATTTTTTTAATTAACGTACACAATTTTACTATTTTAATTTTTTTAATCAACGTATACAATAAATAAAAAATACAAAAGATAAACATACATACTGCAATTTTTATTTTTATCAAAAATTGATTTATTATTAAGGAGTATTTTTTATCACATAAGAAAATTAATTTCTTTCAAAAATTTGACAAACATCAAACAAATAAATATCTTCTCCAAATCTATATTATATATATATATATATATATGATGATTTAAACATATATTTATTTATTTTATTATAATATAATTTTTATTTTTTAAAATATATTATTTTTAAATAGAAAATATATATGTGTCAAATAGTAGTGGGGGCAAGTGCCCCCACTCTTAACAATGTGGATCCGTCCCTGGTTGCAACATTTTAATAATGTAGCTAAGTTTTTGTAAATTTGAAAAATGATAATTAGTATTAATATTGATTGTATAACACTTATATTTTACAATTCTTGTCTACATGTATTTCAAAATTGAAGATATTTTAAGTTAGTCATCACTAAATCTACATTGCATATTAAAATTTATTTATCTTGAGTATCACTCTATGAATACATATATTTTATAGAAAAGTTAGAGAGAAGTTATTTGGAGTCAACAGAGACTGATATTCGATCCGATGGATTCCATTGAAAGATCTCTTTTATTCCCTTAATTTGTAGTTGATGTGGTAAAAGTCGAGGTTGAAATCTTAGAAGCTGAGAATCATAGGTTTAAGTTGTTGTATGAAGAGAGCTTGAGTCTCTTTCTTTCTTTTTCTCCCTTTTTCTAGAAGATTAGAGATAAAGGAAGTTTGTAATTTAATCTTCCATGTTATATGAGTTGAATTTGTTGAGTTGATTCTTGTTTGGGATGGTTTTGATGTTGAATTTGAGATGTAAAAATGAGATGTTCTTGGTTTTTGTTATTTTTGAAAAGGATAAGAAGGAAATTGATGGATTGTGATATTTTGTAGTTGCATGGAATCTTGGTGAATTTGAATAGTTAATAATGTATACTTGTATTTTTGTGAGTTGCATGTTGGTTATTGGTTAAGTTTTAGGTAATTGGAGTCAAATCACTACAAGAAAATGACGATTTTGCGACGGTTATATGGCCTACATTGCGACGGTTAGAAATGCCGCAAAGATAACATTGCGACGGTTTGGGAACCGTCGCAGAATTGTCCGTCACCAGGCAATTTTGCGACGGTTATCAGAACCGTTGCACAAACCGTCGCAAACTTGGAATTGCGACCCTTTCATCAACTGTGGCACCAACTGCCTCTATATTAATATTGCGACCCTTTCATCAACTGTCGTACCAACTGTCTCTAAATTAATATTACGACCTTTTTTTTACCCGTCGAAAATTATAATTTTTTTTAATTTTAATAAATTTATTAATGTAACAATCCTCATATTTGGCCTCAAGGGTTCTATTTCACGATATTTTACTATTTAGCGTGTTTTATCCTTACTTGTGCAATTTCTGGGAAGCTTCCCAGAAGGGATCAATTGTTTTGTCCCAGAACGTCAGGAATCCAATGACTTTGTGCAGTGTCATCATTTGTTTTGTCCCAGAGCGTCAGAAAAATTAATGACTTTGTGCAACGTGTCATTGCCTTGGTCCTAGAGGGTCAGAAAAATTAATGACTTTGTGCAGAGTGTCATCAATTGCTTTGTCCTATAGCGTCAGGAATCCAATAACTTTGTGCAGTGTCATCAATTACTTTGTCCTAGTGTCAGAAAAATCAATGCTTTTTGCAGAGCGTCAGGAATCTAATGACTTTGCGTTTGTCCACATTAGGTTGCTTTAGTTTTATATAAACCCTAAACACAGGCTAAAAAAATGCAACAAATTGAAACATTCGATCAATGGAGTCGTTAACTGCTCCAGCCACTGTTTACTATGATGGACAAATTGTCTCCACTAAGCATGGAGATACAATTGTTAGCAACGAGGTTAAAACCTTACTAGTAAGCAACATGATGACTTATCAGCAACTTAAGCAGGTTATTAATAATAACCTTAATCTTTCTCATTACAAAGTTGTCATAGATATTCCTTCATACAATCAAAAATCATACTTAGATAACTTAGCCTAAATTTGTCTTGTATACATCTTCATCCTCATCTCCAATATGATCATATACACCCTAAGGTCAATCTTACTAAACACATAAACACTCGCTAATTAATTCATAAGGTCATCTATCCTCATATTAACATACATACATATCAAATCATATTAGAATACCTACTTTAAACCTTCATATATACCATCCTTAAGCATGTACAAATCAATCATCGTTTACTCCATATAGCATGTACATGAACCAACTTTACCACATAGCATCATACAACCTTAAACGACCTCTCAATCCACAGGTTTGAACTCGACCTCATTTTTAAGTAAAGCGCACCAAGGTTCAAACTCAACCTTTGCTTAGAGTAAAATACATTGTATCGAGATTCGAATTCGACCTCGCAAAACATCTGATGGTAAGATAACGCAGAGTTAAGGAACAATGAATAAGAAAGGAATGACTCATTTTGTTCATGTTAGGGGTGTGCCTCTTAAAATCCCTCTCAGCCAAAACCCATCTTTCTATTTTTTGGGACAAAAACCTGAGGCGAGAAAAGAATGCACAGCTCATTCTTACAAATTTAGCTGAAATAAAATTTGAGATGCGTGGCGTTCCAAGTCCGCGGGATAGCTTTGCCGCTGAGTTCTTCTAGTTTGTATGCTCCATTTTCCAAGTCTTCTACAACTCGGAAAGGGCCACCCTAGTTGGGTGCAAGCTTTCCTTCTGACGTGTCTCTCCGAGCTTCGCCTAATAGTCGCCACACCAAGTCACCAACTCGGAAAGAGCGAGGCCGCACTCGCATGCTATATCTTCTAGAAGCTCGGAGTTTACAAGCTTCTTCATGAATCCGAGCTTCGTCTCTAAGCTCGTCAATCAGGTCAAGGTCGGCCGCTAACTCTTGAGCATTTTGCTCGTTGTTGAAGACTTGGCGTCGATGAGATGTCTCCCCGACTTCTACTGGATATAAGTTTATTAAGATAATATACATAATACTTCAAAAAAGAAATTTAATTTTAATAAACAAAATTGTCTTATAGATTGCGACGGTTTATAGTAAACCGTCGCAATGCTGAAAATTTTACGACGGTTTATGACTAACTGTTGCAATGTTAAAAAAAATTTGCGACGGTTTATGATTAACTGTCGCAATGTTCAACAAAGTTTGCGATGGTTTATCATAAACCGTCGCAATGTTCAACAAAGTTTGCGATGGTTTATCATAAACCGTCGCAATGTTCAACAAATTTTGCGACAGTTTACGATAAACCGTCGCAATGTTGAACAATTTTGCGAAACGGTTTTGAAATACTGTCGTATGAAGGGTCGCAATATCAAAGCGGCGACGGTTTCTAGATAACCGTCGCAATTTTTCCGTCGCAATTTATCATTTTCCTTGTAGTGAAATCGTGATACCACTTTTTGTGAAAATTGTCATCGCGTAGGATGCAACTTCATGGCATCGAGCATCATCCAGGTTAGGAGTTTTCTACCTCACTCGCATTGAGTACGAGATATGTAACACTCAACGTGAGTCTGAGAGCTCTTTGACTTAATCACGTCAACCGTGGGTTGAGGGGCGCTGAATGTGATTACCTTGGGAGTTCTTTGACTTGGAGATGTAGAACGTAGATTATATAATGTCGGACATGATCAAGACAATGGCTCTCTGCCTTAACAACGTCGAGCGTGAGTTGAGTAGCGTAAGACATTAGTAAGGAAGAGGCTCTATGCTTGGATGACACCGGGGGTGGAAGGATCCAGGCTAGACATAAGTGATCCAGAGGCTCTCTATTTCACTTACGTTGGGCGTGGGAGAGTGGCATTTGTCATGGATGCTGAGCACGAGTTGATCACACTGGGCGTGGATGTGTTGAATGAATATGAGAATTGTATTATTGCATGTTGGTTGCTTACATGAAGGTTGATGATGATTGAATCTAGTTCATAATATGTCAGTTTATGATGATGTATGAAGAAAATCTTAAGTTGTTTCTAAATTTGATAGTAGTTTGTTGGTAAAAGTTGTAATATGTTAAGTGCGATGAACTTGTGAGGCATGAGGTATGTTGTGATGAGTTGTGTATATATGTACGAGGCATGTTGTGTCGAGCTATATTATGAACTTGGGACTAAAGGAGAGGTGTTATTTTAAATGTTGAAAAAACCCCTTGAGTACTATATCTCTTGAGGTGGAGTGTTGACTCTCTTTTAAGTCCTTAGTTGATATAGTATAAGGTTGGGTCAAGCCATACGATTAATGTTGTGACCTACTGAGTATGGTACGAAATCCAAGGATAAAATTCTTAACTAATTACTAGAAGGGTGTCTGGTATCATGAGGATTACTAGCAAATTGTACTTATATGTGACTTGATTAATGCATGTTAGTGTTATGATGGGTCCATACTCAAGCTATACTATACTTCATAATTGATACTAGACTTTTTTAATTGGCTTAAATATGTTTAAACTACCTCGAATTAAGTCGATTTTTAGACTGCTACTTACTAATTCTTTTTTGTTTAAATTACTTGACTAATATTATTCTTTTTTAAATTTTGTACCTAACATTAGTCTCCGTCTGTTAAATAATGATGTGGCTAACGGTCTACCACGTCATCACCCAATAGTGTATGCCATGTCAGCATGTGATAGGAAGCAGATGCAGAACGCATGGACACGTTTGCACTTAAGCCTCTCAACTCAAAGCTCTCCCTCCGCCCATCTCTGATGATTCTCGCCAGCAATCGTTGGCCGAGGAGGAATTAGTTCCTGACTTCCACATGGCGGAGAGCGGTGTCCGCAAGTGCCGCTGGGGCAAATGGTTCTCCGAAATTCGAGTGCCGCAGAAGAAGTCGCGGATATGGTTGGGGTCGTTTCTAGTGCTGGAGATGGCGACGCGAGCTTACGACGTGGCGGCCTTTTACCTCAAGGGCCAGAAGGTGCAACTCAACTTTCTCGATGAGGTTGAGTCCCTGTTGCTTCTACCGATGTGCACACCCACGGACATCCAGGCGGAGACGGCCAAGGCGGCGTGCACTAGCAAAGCCTCACGCGAAGAGAAGGGAGACATTGCCTCCAACGACGATTTTTGGGGCCCGATTGAGTTGCTGAAGGGGGGCCGCCGTCGAACGTGGCGGTGGCGCACGTGCCACTTTTGTTCCCAATTCGGAACCACTCCCACCAAACCCTAAATTCCTCCACGCCGCCTTTTGTCACGAAGTGGAAATCGCCCTCCACATTCATGATGTCGTGGTTCCCATTCATCGTGATGATTGCGTCGCTGCTGCACGCTGCATCGCTCTTTAGGCTTCTCCAGGAAGTAAACGATCTTTAGCTCTTCGCTGCTGCGGTCGACCATGTCGCTGACCTGGACCACGATGGCGGAGTTGCTTGCGTAGCAGTCGACGACGTCGATGAGGCCATCGAGGCACAAGGTCTTCTTGGACTTGTCGAGGTCGCTGTGGAGGTCTCTGATGGCCACCAGGCAAGGCGGCGAGGGGAGTCTGGTTCGTAAATTTCCAATGCAAAACATTTTTTTTTTTTAAATTTCAAGTTTGACGTGGCAAATCACGTGGAGAATGAGGTGGACATGTGTGCTGATATGGCATACACTGTTGGGTGATGACGTGGCAGACTATTAGCCACGTCATCATTTAACAGACGAAGACTAACGTCAAGTACTGAATTGAAAAAAAAATATTAGTCAGGTAATTTAAACAAAAAAAAATTAATAAGTAGTAATCCAAAAATTGACTTAATTCGAGGTAGTTTAAATATATTTAAGCCTTTTTAATTTAAGTGGTGAAATCTGATAAATCATGTTGTGTTGTGAATTGATATCTAAATTTGTGTTGACCTAACAAGCCAAAAATATTGGTTGTTAAAGTTTTATTTGATGGTGTCAAGGCACTTAATTAGACTACTAGCTTATGGTATAAGATATTTAGCGTGGTATTTAAATATGAATATGTACAGGATTTGGTCATAATTCTACCAAAAGATATTTATGTTTTCAATTGTTTATTCTTTACATGTACATTATTACATGAATATTCAGGAACTGCTTACATGATAATTCTATGTTATATTATATTTTATTTTTCGTTGCTTAGTTGTAGAGTTATAGTAAATGCAGTGATCGTCCGAGTCATTACATTTTGCTTTGCATAGAAGTTGTTAATATGACAAGTCACACTTGATATGTAAAGTTGTCAATTTAGACTTAACTCATTGGATCAATCCAAACAACCTACAAATAGAGCTAGGCTAGGCTTGAAAAATGATGACCTAAATAGAAGTGGGACTTTTTGGTTCAATTCTTTTGTCCTAACAAGTTAAATAAATTTAGACTGAGTTGACCTGATAAACCTTAGGCTAACTCGATGACTAATATAATAAAAATATAATATATAATAATTATAATTATAAACAATTATAAAAACAAAATAAAATGTAAAAACTAAAATGTAAATGGCTAACCCTTTTTGTTGCATTTATATATTTGGTACCATGTGTGGTTGTTATGGCCATGTTGTCCGTGTGTGCGCGAGTTCACCTACAACGATAAAGAACTGTGTCTAGGATAACGAGTCAATGGCAAAAGCTGGAAGTCTATCAACGTTGAGTGGAGATGGCAGAGCTGATGAGAAGATGGAAGAGAAGAGTGATCATGAGATCTTAGATGTCTCAATGAATTCGTTGCAACCACATGGAGATTGGTTGATTGTGAAATGAAAATCATAGAAACAGAATAGAAGCAAATTATCTACAACACAATTCATACCTAGATTGGGGAGGGATAAAGATTTTGGAAAGATAGGTGTAAGAGGAAATATCTTAGTTGTTACGGGTGGGTCCATAGAATTATCCAAAAATATGAATAATCATGTGGGGCCCAATGTTTAGATTGTGTTGGCAAATAGGGTTGGGCCTAATAAAGAGGGGCATGAGTCCATGAGGAAAGAGAAGAAATGAGATCGTGCTAACATAGGTGATCCATGCATGCATGTGGACATGATTAACGTCAAGGAGGTTAAATTGAATTCAAGGCCTACTCAAAGTATTGCTTCTTGAATTGCAGAGTTTAAGTCTACTCTCCCTCATCAAGCATGTTCAGGGTACCTAGTATACGTATTATGGTGAGGATCCCATGGAGGAGGTCCAAAGTGTGGTGTAGGATCAAAGTGTGGTGTAGGATATGGTAACTAAGATGATCGTGAAGGCCATCCCGAGGTTGAGGTTATAACTCGTTATGACATGCTCTCTTGAGGAGAGCTTCTGATTATCACTCTAACAGGTTTCTCATGTTAGATAACCAAAATATTATTTGTTTGAATATTAGAGGCATAATGAATGCAAAAGGAAAATGAAGGGTTCGTGAACGAGTTAAGTTGCACAAATCTTCTATTTTCATAATGTTGGAAATCCACTTTTCACTCTTGTTAGTTGCTTTATTTTGGAGTAATCTAAACTATAAGTTGCATCATACTGTAGAGGCCAATGGCCAGAGGCCATGTTGGATGCATATGGATCCTGTTTGAGAAAAATAGTTAAATATCGACCCTTGAGTTGTTTTCTTTCCCTTAAGCAGCTACGATTTTAATTAAGCAAGGTTACAAGAGTGGGCATGCATAATTGTGCATACAAGTCCTAGCTTTAGTCAGAGAACAAAGGTGTGAGATCATATCAGGAGTCTTAGAGAAGCCAGTTGGTGGTGCCTTTTGAATGAGGTAATCTCTAGATCGGAGATTCGAGGGTGTTGCTTCTCTCCTTCTCGTGCTTCCTAGTTGGTTTAGCTCATGAATGACTGTTCCTTAATGGACCTTAGCTATAAAGGTCTTAGATACACCTGGTATCGAAAGCATTGGGCATAATGATGACTAAAAGGCTTGATAGAGTGATTTGTGACACATTATTGCAGTCTCTCTTTTCGGAAGCTTTTGCAAAGGTTTTCTATCATGCTTTCTGATCATTGCCCCATCCTTGTGCGATGTGGTGGTTTGAAAGATAAGCAAAGGGACCATTCATTCTGTTCCCAGGCTACTTGGTCTACACATAAGGGGTTTGAGAAGGTGGTCCGCGAAGCTTGGATTAGGAGCACCCCTACCCTTACTAACAAATTAAAAGCTATGAAGACTGATGCATTAGAGTTTAACACTCCTGTGTTTGGCAATATTACAATTCGAAAAAACTATAGAGGCATGGTTAAGAAGGGTTCAGTTGGAGCTTGACAAGGGAGAGTTTGAGAACCTTTCTCAACTGGAAGGTACTCTCCAAGTTAAGTTGGATGAGGTTTTATTGCAAGAAGAATTTTATGGTTTCAAAAGTCTAGAGAGAAGAAGGTGAGATTTGGTGATAGGAATACTAGCTTCTTGAAATGCACAATTAACATTTTAAGGTTAGAAGGGTTATCTATCTTCTTGAAATGTTAATTGTGCTCATCCCAAAGATAGACAACCTATCTAACCTTAAAGATTTATGCCTGATCAGTTTGTGTAATATGGCATATAAGGTTATATCAAAAGTGATAATGGCACGACTGTGTACTTACCTCCATGATATTATTGGACCTTTCCAAGGAAGTTTCATACCAGGGAGAGGACCACTTGATAATAGTATCCTTGCATAAGAGACTCTCCATTTTATATCCAAGGATAAAACTGCTATGGGAACTATGACATTGAAAATCGACCTTGAGAAGGCATATGATAAAGTGAGTTGGGATTTTCTTAGACTACCCTACATAGATTTGGTTTTCCTACTCATATCATCCAACTAATCATGTGGGTAGTTGAGAATTCTATGTTGTTAGTGTTACGAAATAGAGGAAAGTTGCAACTATTTCAACCTTCTTGGGGTCTTATGCATGGAGATCCTCTCCCCATATCTTTTCGTGATTTGTATCAGGAGACTTGTTATTCACATGCATGAGCTAAATAAAGAAAGGTCTTGGAAAGCTATTCAAATATCATGGGGAGTCCCACCTTTGTCTCATTTGTTGTTTGTGGACGATATTTCTTATTTTGTCATGCCATGGAACAATAGGTGCAAATAGTAGCTTCAACCTTGGAGGACTTTTGTGTTGCATCAGATTTGAAGGTAAATTGTGACAAGTCTAAATTCATGGTGTCTAAGAAGGTGGAAAATCTAAGAATAAAAAGGTTTCAGCAAATTCTAAATATACACTATAATCATTGCATGGGGAAGTATTTAGGCATGCCAATGATTTAGGAAAGGGCTAAGTTGCAGGATTTTCAACATGTCATTGATCATGTGAATGGGATATTAGCCGCTTGGAAAGAAAGGTTACTAAATAAAGCTGGAAAGTTATGTCTCATCAAGTCCACATTAACCTCAATTCCTGTTTGTGGTATGCATTGCATGTGGTTCTCACAAGGTATATGCAACATTATTAACAAAGTATGTTGATCGATGCTGCGGGAAAAAGATTGCAGCTCCTAGTTTTGGTCTTTGGTGGGATGGTCCACAGTCACTCAACTGCTTGCACATGGTGGGTTAAACATACGAGAATCACGACCAGTGAACATAGCCCTTCTTAATAAGTTGATTTGGGAGTTATTAAGTTCACCACATAAGCCTTGGGTGCAAGTCTTGGGATAAATATTTGAGAGGTCACTTAGTGCTAGCTGGGGTAGAACAACGCAGACAATCCTATATCTAGGCAATCATTCTTAAAGCATTATCATTTCTTAAGGGATGGCTTTGCTCCTTGTCTTGGTTCGGGAAATTCCTCTTTTTGGTATGCAGGTTGGTTAAGAGTGGGACCGCTATGTCAGCTGGTTCCTTACATACATATTAACAATTTTGAGATCAAAGTTGTTTAATGTTGGCATGAGGGTTCTTCAAACTTGAAAAAGTTGTACACATTACTTCCTTAGGAGGTGGTTGATCATATTTTACAGGTGTGTATAACTATGAATCCAATAGGGATCGACACATTTAACTGGATAGGTGACCCATCGCCAAGTTATATTGTAGCAAAGGGATTCCAATCATTATGCACAAAGGGATAAGCTGCAGAAACTTTAGATTGGAAACGTCTTTGGAAGTTGTCTATACAGGAGAAGATGAAGTTTCTTCTTTGGCAAGGTTTGCATAATGCCCTTTCGATTAATAAGGTTCGATTGTAGAGTAATTTAGCTTCGAGCGGAGCTTGCATGAGATGTTCACA